AGGACATAACCTTATATCCAACATTTACAAGACTACTGAACACAAAGTACTCACACTAATAGCCCACAAATAAAACCATATGTGTATGGGTATGTTTCTTTTTCTCTGATTTATATCCCTGTATATTAGCCTTTATTATGAGTAAGTTTTCGATATACTGCATTATTTGTTTTGACATAAATTTTAAGATCAACTTGTTAAGGTCCATGAGAAACCTTGAAGGGGTTTGATTGGAATTCCATTGAATTTTACAGATTATCTGGGGGCCACAATTGATGTCTTTATGATTCATAGTCTTCCCAATTGTAAGCAGGTCTGTTTGTATTTTTTAATTTGTTCTAATTAGTTATACATGACAGCAGAATGCATTTTGATTCATTGTACACAAATGAAGCACAACTTTTCATTTCTCTGGTTGTACACAATGTGGAGTAGCACCATATGTGCAGTCATACATATACCTAGGGTAATGATGTCCATCTCGTTCCACCATCTTGGTCTGTCTATATTTTAATCAGTGTTAATTTTTGTCCTTCAATAGTGGTTGGTAATTTTTTTCTCAAATGTATCACATGTGTGTCGCTTATTTTCAGTGAAGAATCAAAGACATATTTCACTAGTGAACCAAAAACAGAAAATAACCCAACTTATTTTACAAGGCTAGTATAACCCTGATTCCAGTTGAAATATGGGTTCTTTCTGTAAAGGACTAGAGAGCAGTCTAACTCTAAGTCATAGAATATTCTTAAGAATGTAAATGTGTTAAGAATATAGATGCAGCAATCTTAAAACTTTAGCTAGCTGAATACAATAATGTATATTTTTAGATTATTCCTAATTTGTCCAATGAATATAAAGGTCTGTGTTGAAAGTATCATGCCACTTTTGAATTAAAAAAGGAAAGCCCACATGATTATTTCAGTTAACATATGTTTAAGTTACGGCATAAGGACTGCAAATTTGAGATCAGCCTCGGCAATTTAGCAAGGCCCTTAGTAACTTGGTAAGACCCTGTCTCAAAATGAAAAATAAAAAGGGCTGGGGAAGTGGCTTGGTGGTTAAGTGTCCCACCCCTGTTCAATCCCCAGTCACCTCCCCCAAAAGATTTCCTACAAGTATTTGTGAATTTCAAAGTCTAATATGTTGTTGAAATACAGATTCTTTCTGTAAAGGGCTAGAGAGCAAATATTATAAACTGTGGGTCAAGAGGCAAAACTAAGATTATTGTGTAGGTACTTATAAAATAAGAGAGAAAGCAAATTTCCATAAATCTTTATTAATATGATTTAAAATATAAAAATTGAGTATACTGAGTATAGTTTTTTCTAAGTAAGGTCTGTGACTATGAAGAACAGAATTCTTTTAAGAGGAATAACATTGTTTCCTATCATCCAAATCAATTAAAATGTTCATTTGTTAATGCTGATCTACAATGAGATTTCCCATATTTCACCTTTACAAATGTCTTTCCTCGTGCATAGTTTCTGCAAAATACTGATATCAATCTATGAGCATATGGTTTTAATTGAACATAGTCACAGATTGGAAGGCATTTTTAGAATTATATTAGCTAAAAGGCTAGAATGCCTTTTAGCATGTCATTACATTGCAAATCACTTCCAATTAAAGTTCCTCAATTGCACAGTTAAATGGATTTTGGAATATGGAAATTTACTTTGCACATGCATAGAGGTCTGAAAAACACTGCTGTACTTCAAAATTAGAAAATATATTGCTGGGAATGGAGACATCACTTTTTTCTTTTTAAACTTTTGACAGTGAAGGCCTGACATTATTTGCAGTTCAAACATTAGTTGTCATTGAAATGACTTTATCACAGTATGTTTTACATGTAAGACTCACATATAAGCACTGTTTTGCCTTGTAACTTTTGCTTGAAACATTTTCAAGTCTGTAGCAAAAGCTGAATTCCAAGGCCATTCAAAGTTCAATACCAGTGGGTAATGTAGTTCTTCAAATATTTTCAAAATGTAAAAATCATTCTTGAGGGCTCTACATATACAAGGTCCATTGGCCATAGTTTGCCTCCCTCTGCTCTATAAAATCTTGACCACTTATATTACCAGTAAATGAGACTGTTTTCCCAAAATTGTGTAATCAATGAGTATTAACTTTCAAAAATTTATCCAACTTTAATATTAACTACTCTGATGATATGATCATTCTATACTGTATATATGTACTAAATTATGATATATAGTACATAATAAATCTGTAAAACTATAAACTCCAAAATCATTTTTTTCAATTTATATATATTTGAAAAATAAGGTAACATATCTTTTTTAAAGAGCTTTGTGATTATACATAGTAGTTAGTTTCATCCTGACAAACTTGTACATGCATGGTCATCTATTTGGGTTCATGATTCCCCCTTTTCCCTCTTGTCCTTCCTCCCCTCTCCCCTTCTCCTACCTCTGCACTACTAGGTATTCTTTCACTCCTTGATTAGTTTGTATTTGATTGACTATGTAATCTTATCTTTCCCTTCCCCTTTTTACTCTAGCTTCCACATATGAGAGAAAACATTCAACCTTTGAGTTTGAGTTTGGTTAATTTCACTTAGCATAGATATTCTTCAATTCATTTACTGGCAAATGCCATAATTTCATTCTTTTTAATGTTAAATAGAACACTGTTGACTGGCATCTGGGTTGTTTCCATAATTTATCTATTATGAATTGTGCTGTTATAAACATTGATGTGGCTATATTGCTATAGTATGCCAAATGTAGATCTTTGGGGAAAATACCCAGGAGTGGGATAGTTAGGTCATGTGGTTCCATCCCTAGTTTTTTTGGAAATCATTATACTACTTTCTAGAATGGTTATACTAATCTGCAGTCCCACCAACAATATACAAATGTTTCTTTTCCCCTGCAACTCTGCACAAAAATCAAATCAAAATGGATCAAAGACTTAAGAATTAGACCATAAACTTTACAACTGCTAGAAGAAAACTTGGTAAAAACTCCATCATACAGGTACTGGAACCAACTTTCTTAACAAGACCCCTAAAGCTCAAGAAATAAAACCAAGAATTAATAAGTGGGATGTCATTAAACTAAAAAGCTTCTGAACAGCAAAGGACATGATTAAGAACATGAAGAGAGAGCTTACAGAATGGGAGACAATCTTGGACAGCTACCCCTCTGATAGTAGATAGGATTAATATCCACAATGGGCAAAGAACTCAAAAAACTTTACACCAAAAAAAAACCAAAAGAACAAACACAAAAGACCAATGAATATATGAAAAAAATGTTCAACATCTCTTGCAAATCAAAACTACACTAAAATTTCATCTCACTCCAATCAGAATGGCAATGATCAAGAATACGAACAATAATAAATGCTGGGGAGGTTGTGGGGACAAAGGAACACTTTTATATTGTTGGTAGGACTGTGGACTAGAACAACCATTCTGAAAAGCAGTATGGAGATTCCTTTAAAAAATAGGGATGGAACCACCATATGACCTACTATCCCACTCCAGGGTATTTTCCCCAAAGATCTAAAATGGGCATTCTACAGCAGCACAGCCATGTCAATGATTATAGCAGTACAATTCACAGTAGATAAATTATAAAATTAACACAGATGCCAATCAGTAGATGAATGGATTAAGAAATTGTTGCACACACACAATTTGACTTCTACTCAGCCATTAAAAAGAATACAACAGACACTAGTATGGCAGTATGTATAAACATGGCTATATAACCAATGTGATCCTGCAATCTGTACACATGGGAAAAATAAGAATTCATACCCCATTTGAATCAAATGTATGATATATGATATGTCAAGATCATTGTAATGTTTTGAGCAATCAATAAAAAAATGAAATTATAGGACTAAGAGCTGGGGTTGTGGTTCAGTGGTGGGACACTTGTCTAGCATGTGTGAGGCTCTGAATCTTGTAAAGTTGCACCTCAATAAATTGCTAAGGCTCACATTGAACTTGGCATCCACCTCCTCAGTCTTCTTTATTGCTGGGATTATAGGTGTGTGCCATAGGATCTGGCTCCTCCTAATATAGTTCTTATTTATCCTTCAAGATTTGGATCAAGGACCAGTTCCTCCTCTGGCTACAATCTGTGCAAATATGTGCTTTAACATCAATTTCACTTTTATGTAATTAACTTTTGATTTATAGCAATCTGTTATAACTGATGTGTATATTCCCAAACAGTGCCCAACACTTAGTAGGTACTAATAATTTGTTGACTGGTGAGTTAAAAATAATAGTAGTAGTATTAATAATATTAACAAATATGTGCCAGATATATTAAAAAAATGTGTATAATATTCCTCATGTAGTTGTTGCCATAATATAATATAATATAATATACAATTAAATTGTGAAGAAGCACCCTCAGAACTGGGCATGGTAGAGCACGCCTGTAGTTCCAGCTACTCAGGAGGCTGAGGCAGGAGAATCACTTGAGCCTAAGATTTTATCAGCCTGGGCAACATAGCAAGACCCTGTCTCTTTTTTTTTAATATTTGTTTTAGTTAGAGGTGGACACAGTATCTTTATTTTGCTTTATGTGATGCTGAGGATCAAACCCAGTGCCTCACACATGCTAGGCAAGCACTCTTACCTCCGAGCCACAACCCCAGCCCAAGATCCTGTCTTAAAAAAGAAAAAATAGCATGGTGTAAAAGATCTCCCTCATATAGTAAATCCTAACCAAATATTTGTGTTTTTATTCCCTAATAAAACTGAGTGTGTCAGTTTATTAAAACATGTATTTTCCCCTTAAATGATGAAATGATTAAATAATAGCCTTTAGTTGTGACTTTGATCTCTAATTAAGAAAAATTTGTTTGCCCTGGAAAACAGAAATATAAGTACAAAAAAGAATATTCATTGGTCATATGTATTTTGTAATTTAAACAGGAAGCTTCTTCTTTTCAAAATCTCCTTTGTAACTTAACCAAGATTAATCTTTTATTTCACTTTATTTCCAAAGGATATCCATTACCTTGCCCTAGATAAGGGTGAATTGGCACTAGCTGAAGTGGCAAGAAAAAAAGCTAGTGATATTGATGCAGAATCAATAACCTCTGGAGTCGGTAAGAATTAATACTTTTTTTTAAAGTTCCTTTTGTTTTAATTCTTACTCAGAATCATTTCTAGTTGTAGGGCATGGTTGGTTAATTTGAATTGCTTTCTTTGTAAAGACAGTTAACTTTTTAAAAAGTTAAAATTTTTAAAAAGTTAAAATTTTTAAAAAGTTAAAATTATTAAGCCTTGACAAATGATATAATATCAATAAGTTGGAATTATACATGAAAATTGATAATTTGTGATTATGTAATCACTATTTAGCAAAAAGTAAAGGCATTGTTCTTTGCATAAGATTTTGGGGTGAGTTTATTATTATCATCAGTGCCATTATGGACCAACACAGAAACTTAACCATTTATACATAGGTCATATGTTCAAAGAATTCTCTCCTACGTGAGACAAAGCATTTCACATAGGATCAGGTTTGACAGGTGATTTGTTTTCTGTTCAGAAGTTGCTAGTGTCATTTTGCAGTGTAATATTCAAAGACAGATCAGAAGCCCAGATTGAATCTAAAGGCCAACTTAAACTTTATAATATACAAAAATAAAAGATTTAAAAGTATATCAGCATGAACTTCCTTTTTCTAAACTTAGTTTATCTAATGTCACTAAATCTGGCAGTAGTAATACTTGGACATCACAATTTCCTGTTCTTCCTAGTATTTCTTATTCTTAAATTACACAAAGGACCCTCAGAATTATAAGTAAAATTGCTTCATTTCTCTATGTAAGTCCTATGAAACAAATATTTTAATAATATTCCCACTTTGTTAGTGCTTGAAAATATAATGAGTCACTACCCTGAGCAGTCGTCTTATGCTTTGGGTGATGTTTGCTGCCAAATGGGCCAACTCTTAGCTTCTCTACAATGTGACCACCGATTCCACTGTTCAACATGGTAGTGGAGGGAACTCAAAGCCATACCATTAGCGTAGCTCCAGACCTGAACACTAGGACTGATAATTACTTACCAGTAAGAGAATCATATTCTCCTTCCACACCTAAGAGTGTTGGAGATTGAGCACAAAAGATGCCAAGACTACTTTCAGAGCTCCATTTCTATGGAGCTAATATTCTTAATTGTATTCAGCGTGAGTATTCCTTATAATAGTAAAAAGTTATTCTTACCTAATAGTAACTCTAGTTGGTCTATTGCTATATCTTTTTACTTACAAAGTCTATGATGTGCCTCCTACTAATAATATTAGTAAACTGGAGGTGGTGGCATATGCCTATAATCCCAGTGGCTCAGGGGGCTGAGGCAGGAGGATCACAAGTTCAAAGTCAGCATCAGCATCTTAGCAAGATCCTAAGCAACTTAGTGAGACCCTGTCTCAAAATAAAAGGGCTGGGGGTGTATCTCAGTGGTTAGGTGCCCCTGGGTTCAATCCCCCAGTACCAAAATAATAATAATAAAATATTAATAATCTATTATTTATTGAATGCTCCCTAAGGACAGATACTATTTTCAGTTACAGATAGCAGCACATCCTCACTACAATTCTGTGAGGTACATACAATTTATATTTGTTATGAGAAGTCATTTGCAACCAAATGCTGAAACCACACCATAGTAATAGGGATTATGATGTTATGGGGATACCAATATCCTCCATCCCCTTTCTTAGCCATTTAGGAAGACACAGCAAGATGTTAATTCATAATCATTCCTGTCAATTTTCCTGGGTCCTGAATTTTCCACTAAGGGATTAGATATAATTAATCTTTCAAAGCTATTTAAAGGGTAAAAGGGAAGGGGGAGAAATTACCATGAAATTTCAGGAAACTGAAGAAATGCTTCTATTCTTCAGAATGTATCTTGTGCCCCTATTCTTTAATCAAGTTACTGTAGCTGCTGATAATTACTAACCAGAAGGCTTGGTGTTCCTCCTTTGAGTCCTGCGTCATTTCTACCAAATATCTTTTTTCACTAAAGCCTTATGACCCAGATTACTAACAAAGATACTATTAGGTAACATCAGTAACTAGCAAGAGGTTAACTTCTTAGATAAATGTTCTGTCCCACTTTCATTCCAGAAAACTGGGTGACTCCCAGTCATACCAAACAGTGTTTAGGAAAGAATCTCTAGTTTTCTCATCATGGTCTAGTCCCAGCTTTTCATTTCAGCCTATATCATTCTGAGAAAAGCTAATTTATCTCAAATTCCCTCAGTTTAACTCACTATTCTCTCAAACTTTTCCCAAAGCAGAGAGAGATTAAATTTTTGGCTTTCAAAAGTGTTCTCTGATGTGAGGAAGAGACCAAATTGTAGCATATCAAGAGTACTTAAGTAGTTCAGTCTAGACATGGGAGAATCTAAAAAAGTATCACATAGACTTGTTAACACAATTCAAAGCAAGAGTTGCTAAAGGAAAAGCTCAATGATGACTATCAATGAAAAATATGTTAATATTTTCATTTGAAGCATAACTAACATTCATACAGAAAGTACACAAATCATAAGTATATGACTCCATGAATTTTGACAAAGAGAACACATTCTTATAACCAATATTCAGGCTAAGTACATTACCAGGACCCCAGAGGTCCTCCTGTAACACCTTTAAATCCTATACCCTTAGCCCAACTATCTAGACTTTTTAAAAATTAAATTATTTATTTATTCTAATTTGTTATACATGATGGCAGAATGCATTTCATTTCCTATTGCATATATAAAGCACAATTTTTCAAGTCACTGATTGTATGCAAATATTTTCACACCATTCATGTCTTCATAAATGTACTTCATAACATTCCACTATCATTCCTTTACCCTTGTTCCCTCCTTTGCCCTCCTTCCCCTTTGCCCTATCTAAAGTTCCTCCATTTCTCCCATGCTCCACCCACCCATTGCCATTATGATTCAGCATCCTCATATCAAAGAAAATATTTGGCCTTTGGTTTTTTGAAATTGGCTACCTTCACTTAGCATTATATTCTCTAACTCCATCCATTTACCTGCAAATGCCATGATTTTATTCCCTTTTATTGCTGAGTAACATTCCATTGTGTATATATGGCACATTTTTTAATCCATTCATCTACTGAAGGGCATCTAGGTTGGCTCCACAGTTTAGCTATTGGTGCTGCTATAAACATTGATGTGGCTGTGTCCCTGTAGTATACTGTTTTCAAGTCCTTTGGGTATAGATTGAGGAGAGGGATAGCTGGGTTAAATGGTGGTTCCATTCCCAGTTTTCCAAGGAATCTCCATACTGCTTTCCAGATTGGCTGCACCAATTTGCAGTCCCACCAGCAATGTATAAGTGTGCCTTTTTCCCCACATCCTCGCCAACACTTATTGTTGTTTATATTCTTAATAGCTGCCATTCTGACTGGTGAGATGAAATCTTAAAGTAGTTTTGATTTCCATTTCTCTAATTGGTAGAGATGTTGAACATTTTTTCATATATTTGTTGATTGATTGTATATCATCTTCTGAGAAGCCTGTTCAATTCCTTGGCCCATGTATTGATTGAGTTATTTGTGGTTTTTTTTTTTTGTTTTTTTTTTTTTTGGTGTTAAGGTTTTTGATGCTTTACATATTAGAGATTAGTGCTCTATCTGATGTGCTTTTAGTAAAGATTTTCTCCCACTGTAGGCTCTCTGTTCACTTCATTGATTGTTTCTTTTGCTGAGAAGAAGCTTTTTAGTTTGAATCCATTCCATTTATTGATTCTTGGTTTTAATTCTTGTATTATAGGAGTCTTATTAAGAAAACTAGGACCTAATCCAACATGATGGAGATTTGGGCCTACTTTTTCTTTCATTAGGCACAAAGTCTCTGGTTTAATGCCTAGGTCCTTGATCCATTTTGAGTTGAGTTTTGTGCATGGTGAAAGAGAAAGTTTTAATTTCATTTTGTTACATGTGGATTTCCAGTTTTCCCAGCACCATTTCCAACTATCCAGACTTTTGTAACACAAAATAAAGTTTTTATAATAGTTTTACAGTAGTTTCTAACAGTTGTAATTCTTTCAGTCTTATAGGTGTGTAACAATATTCCAACATATAAATATGACAATTTTATTTATTCTACTTTTGATGGATATTTTGGAGATTTCTGACTTTAAATGCAATATATGAAATAAACTACATATATTATGTACATAAAATATCAAGTTTTAATATTTGATTGTCTACCTTTTATTATTTTGTTTCCTCTTCTAGCAGTCTTGTTTTATTCCTGGTATTCTGGTCATTTACACGGGATAAATTATATAAAACTCACACCAGTCAACCATGCTTTTATATGGCCTGGTAAGGCAAAAAAGATATTCAACTTTGACATGTTTGAGTGTTTTATGATTTTAAGCAATGATGATTTCAGGTAGAAATATCTGGGGTATTGTTAGTCTTCAATTTCCTATTCTCTAATATATTATGTGTTATATTATGTTAAATATCAGAGATAAATGTTTAAAGTTTATAAAAATGTCTTGTGTTTCTGAGTATTCACTTTGGTACTAAATGTATTACTTCACCTTGAGAGACCAATAGCTTGTGTCTCAGTTTTCTCATTTTAAAAGAGATGAAAATATTAGTACCTATGATATGGATTATTGTGGGGTTACATTAGTTAATTCATGCTTCAAACAGTGTCTGGCAAAGATTAAAGCACAGTAATGGCTAGTGCCTTTAAAAATAAAAATGTGTATTTGTAGTAATAAACATTCTTGAGTGATGAGAGATCACACCTGTAAAATACAGGTTTTATTGGTTCTTCTTGATTAGTCCTGAATTTAATTCCTATATGTTTTAAGTTTTAACATTATGTATTAAATATGGGATATAATAAATCATTTGTGTCAGAAAAGTATTATGGATGGACATCCAGTAAGATTTTCCCTTAAAGATTATAAATTTATAATTGTGTCCTTTCCAGTTTAACTGAGAACTCAGTCTGTAGTAAATACAAACTATAAAGTCAAATCTGTCCTCTTCCACTTCCATCTTTGGCCAAGGCTTAATGAGCTTCATTGGTGATGGTGCTGTAAGG